GGAATCACTATTTTGCCATGCTGGCTGAAGCTGATGGGAGTTGTGGTCCTAAAAATCTGGATGGCATCACATTGGGGAAAGTTGCACCAGAGCATTCTGTTTATGTGTCCCATCACTTTCAGGGACACAATTAGTTGAGACAGAAGACAGGGCATTTTCTATTGTGGCAGTCAGGTTGTGGAATTTCTTGCTTAGATGGCTTGTTCCCCCCCTCTGTTTTAAGCCCCAGGAGAGCAAATTAAGGCTTTAAGTGCATTCACTGACTTTTAGTTTTGGCTGAAGTTTGTCTCTCCTACTTTTATGCTTGCTTTCCCCTTTTCTCTCTCTTTGAATCTACTCTTAGTTTTATAGTATTTTGTGGATTTTAGTAGTTTTGATTATTTTTAACCAAACTCTGCTTTTATTGAAAAGAATACCATTTGCATGTACTGTTATAGGAAATAAAAAGGGCATACAAAAATATAACTGAAACGTGGAAGAGAAGATACAGTCACTATCTTGCTATATTCAATAGTTTTTATGTGTTCTTGCATTTGGTGTATGAATGTATGCTGTAAGGCACCTTTAACTTTCTAGGATCAGCAGCGAAAGCCCTGAATTGGCCTTGGCAGATGCCCAGCAATACCGATACCTGACTTGGCTCTTGAGTAAATGGCAGAGCTTTACTTCCACCATTTTCATCTCTCTCTCTCTGTTCTAGCTGTTTCCCCTTAGTGTATGGAAATTTCAGAAATATCTCTTGAAATTTGCACCTTTCCCAACGCTGTGTCCTAGGGATCCACTTCCATATTTGGTTACAGTAAAGTCAGAGCCTTATTATGGAGAGACTTAACGCTCCTACAGTATTTTCCATGATGCATGAGCAGAACATGTCATTAACCACTTCTACCTTGCTGCAGATTGTGGTGCAGGTGAGGGTTTTAAAAGCAGTTTGAAGGTTTAGTTGAAAAGTTCCCCTCAACTTAAAGAGAATAAACTGTCATAAAGACTGTAATAATCACCTTTCCATCTTAAAAGCAATCTCTCGCAGACCTGTGATATAAAAGAGATTTTTAAGACTCCTTGTTATCCTTCTCAAATTACCAGTATATCACAACAGACACATACCACTGGGTTCTGGGTGATTGATGGCTTTATTTATTTTTTAAAGGGACTCTTGAATTCTTGGTGGTTCTGCATCCAGTCTGTGCTAAGCAGCTCATGGTTAAATGCTGCGTACCTTAAAATAGGTCAAGTAGATGTGGCACATACTGAAGACTATTCCCAACTTAGGCACAGACACATTCTCCATTTGTATAAAAAGCTGTTTGTATCTCCGTTCCTAAACCAAAAGGGGTTTGTTTAATGTTGTAAAATATGAGGCTTTTTCCTTCCAACAGTCAGAAGCGGCAGTCTGCGCATGCATTATTTATAGAAAATAATTGCAAAACAATTAGTTGAGCGACTGTAATGATTTTTGAATGGGAGTAGGTAGTGAGACATAGAAAAACATATGGCATTTCACCAACTGTTTATAAATATTATAGCAGAATTGTGCAGAAGAACGGCCTCCTCCTCTACAAGAATCAACAAGGAAGATCTCCTTTAACTGCTGACTACCCATGGTGTTAGTATCATCCTGACATTTTATTCTCTCTGTGTGTGTTTCCCACACATAAACTTATACTCTTTCTCCTCCGACTCCCTCCCAGGTTTTCTGTTTCTACCATGATTGTGCTGTTCTGAACAATACCCAGGCAGAATTGAGTTTTCAGCTATTCCTTAACTACCCCAAATCAGGTATCACAAGGTGTGTGTGTGTGTGTGTGTGTGTGTGTGTGTGTGTGTGTATATATATATATATATATATAATATATATATATATCCTAGGAAGTCACAGCCACCCTAATAGCCTAGCAGTTCTGCATAGGAGACGGGGGACATCTCTGGATTTAAAAGGTCTACATGAGAAAATCTTACATGTACAATTCTCATTTCTTTCCTTCTCATACTGGGCCCTCTTTGTGCCAAATTGCTAAACCAGAAACACAAGAAGGTTGCATGAAGAGTTGCCCACATGAGCACCTTTCTCTTGCTCAGCCATTGTACAGAAAGAAAAAAGAGGCAGCTGAGGAACTACTGGCTGCCAGGCTTGGCCCCAAATTAGCATTAGAACTTCCAGCTGGCAGGACAAATTTCACCTACCAGGCTTCTTTCCCCATGGTGTGTTCTCAAAACCTGGCCCCCATTTGCCTCACATCTGATGTGATAAGTAGCATCATGGGCAGGGCAGGTAGAGGCATGGCTGGGTCCTGCTGCTGAAAAGGATTAAACTCCTTGCCTGTCAGCTGATGCGCAGAGAATTCAGTTCTGCTCGTTTGGGTGTCCCAGCAAGTTCTCCACTGGGAACAAAATGTTGTCATTTGCAGTGCTCCTGTTTAGGGTTCCTGCCAGCCATGTCCTCTGCCAAGATACCCCATTTTACCCTCTGTGGCTCCCACTTGACTGTTTGTAAACATTATTTTTATTCCATACTTCTGAAAATATTGAGGTTGCCCTTAGGAGGCTGCTTGGTTTTTAGTGGTCTTGGTTTGGCCACAGCTCTTAGTACTCAGTAGCTGAGTTTGCTATTAGAAGAACTGAGGATTGTTACGATTTTAATGTGCTTCTTGCCATGTCTTTTATTTAATAATAATAATAATTTGTTATTTATACCCCACCCATCTGGCTGAGTTTCCCCAGCCACTCTGGGCGGCTCCCAATCAAGTGTTAAAAACAGCACAGCATTAAATATTAAAAACTTCCCTGAACAGAGCTGCCTTCAGATGTCTTTTAAAGATAGGATAGCTGCTTATTTCCTTCACATCTGAAGGGAGGGTGTTCCACAGGGTGGGCGCCACTACTGAGAAGGCCCTCTGTCTGGTTCCCTGTAACCTCGCAACGAGGGAACCACCAGAAGGCCCTCGACACTGGATCTCAGTGTCTGGGCTGAATGATGGGGCTGGAGACACTCCTTCAGGTATACAGGACCGAGGCTGTTTAGGGCTTTAAAGGTCAGCACCAACACTTTGAATTGTGCTCGGAAATGTACTGGGAGCCAATGCAGATCTCTCAGGACCAGTGTTATGTGGTGTCGGTGGCCACTCCCAGTCACCAGCCTAGCTGCCGCATTCTGGATTAATTGCAGTTTCCGGGTCACCTTCAAAGGTAGCTCCATGTAGAGTGCATTGGAGTAGTCCAAGTGGGAGATAACTAGAGTATGCACCACTCTGCCGAGACAGTCTGCGGGCAGGTAGGATCTCAGCCTGTGTACCAGATGGAGCTGGTAGACATCCGCCCTGGACACAGAATTAACCTGCGGCTCCATGTACAGCTGTGAGTCCAAAATGACTCCCAGGCTGCGCACCTGGTCCTTCAGGGGCACAGTTACCCCATTCAGGACCAGGGAGTCCTCCACACCCACCCGCCCCCTGTCCCCCAAAAACAGTACTTCTGTCTTGTCAGGATTCAACCTCAATCTATTAGTCGCCATCCATCCTCCAACCGCCTCCAGGCACTCACACAGGACCTTCACTGCCTTCACTGGTTCTGATTTAAAAGAGAGGTAGAGCTGGGTATCATCCGCATACTGATGAACACCCAGCCCAAACCCCCTGATGATCTCTCCCAGCGGCTTCATATACATATTAAAAGCATGGGGGAGAGGACGGGACCCTAATGCACCCCACAAGTGAGAGCCCAGGGGTCTGAACACTCATCCCCCAACACCACTTTCTGGACACAGCCCAGGAGAAAGGAGCGGAACCCCCATATAACAGTGCCCCCAGCTCCCAGCCCCTCTCGACGATTTATATTGTCTGTCACAATTTATATCGTGCTCTGAACACTCTGTTAAAAGTGGAAAGGCAAAGTATAAATTGGGGAAAGAAATAAGCGTACTGTGCCTCCATGATGTGACCCAACATAACCTGAAAATACATAGTATTACTTAGCAGTATGTATGCACCAGCATGTGAAACTACTTCATGCTATTTCACAAAATGGGGGGGGGGCACTAGCAGGTGGTAAGATTCCTCTGGGGCACCAGCTGGTACTTTAAAGTAAGGATTAGCAGGTATATGTGTGCAGTTGAACCAGTTGGAAAATACTTAACCTATTTTGATCAAATGAAAAACAACCTCATGTGCGGCAAATTTTGTCTGTTTCAGTCCCCCCCCCCCCACTTAGCAAAATGAAACACTGAAATGTTCAGTGGAGGATTTCTCACTTCTCCAGTTTGGGAGTGCATGCCTGGGAAAAACAGAACCACCATTTTTAAAGTGGCTGACGAAAAGCGGGTGAGAGGCTTTGTGTGGCTTGATCTTTCACTGGAATAAAGAAGAAGAGAAGCATTTTGCTTCGCGTTCTTTGGGGAAAATTGTGGGGCTTCCCCCTCACAATAGCCTGCAGGGCCCACTGCGTGGTGAACGGAGGGGCCCAGAAACCAAAGCCTGCACATTGTAGACTGAGGGGGGCAGAGAACCTGTGTGTGAAGGAAAACTGTGTTGTGAAAAGGAAACTTTTTTATGAGAGAATTGTTTTTAAAAGCACCAAGATTAGGAATCAGCTTTGCTTTATTTGCCTTAAGAAAACAGCACTTTCTCTTCATGTGGCTCCCCAAGTACTTGAGGAGAGGCAGCTGCTCCACGTGTGTGCTCAGAACCTCAGGTCTCCAGGGAAATGTTGTTCCAGAAAAAGAAGGGCGGGGAAAGAAATGCGATAGCTGACAATCTTCGGGAAGGGGAGACACGGGGAAACGCCGAGCTCGCCTCAGCCTGGGCGCTGAGCGGAAGGAGGCGCCTTCCCTATTGGCGCCGGGCTGCTGCAGTGAGGCTCGCGGCCGCCAGGGAGAGCCGTTCGGGCGCCGCCTGGAGCCGAGCGAGGCGCGGCTGGCTGGGCGCCTGGCTTTGCGCGCAACTGGTGGCGGGGTCCTCCTTCTCCTCCTCGTCCGGGCGGGGTGGTCACGCCCGGCGGTGGCGGCTCCTGCACAGTGCCGAGGCCGGCCAGGCGAAGTTGGGCAGCAGCGGCGAGGAGGGGCGGCGTTGCTGCTGCTGCTGCTCCCTCTTCCCAGTATGCCGGCGTCTCCCGAGTTGCCTCGGCGGCGACGGCAAGCGGGCGGCCGGCAGCGGCAGCCGAAGAAGCGCGTGTGAGCGACCGGAGAGCTCCTCTCCACTCACAAGGATGCTGGGGGGCGATGCCTGGCGGCAGGGAGGACGAGATTTGCCAGAAAGCGCTGAAGCTGCTGGTCGAGCTCTGCTCCGACGGGACGGTGGAGAACGACCGCTGCCTCGAGTTCAACTACTACCTGCGGGACAGCGGCAGACCCCGGCCCACAGACTCCGGTAAGCGCCGCGATCCTGGGTGGTGGGGGGCCGGGAAGGAACTTCAGCGGGACAAGGGGCTTCAGTTCCCTCGTCGGAAATCTATAGGCGTCCATCGCAGGCTGGGTTTGGAGAGGTGGCGCGTCAGTGATTGCCTGATCCCATCCCTCCATTTTTCAGAAATCTCCCTCCGCCCTGATTTTGAGGCGACCAGGACTTTACTCCTAAATGGTGAGGCCGGGGTTGATGTTCCCGGTCTGTGCAGCCAGAGAGCCCGCCGTCCTCCTAGACGCAGCGCCCAACCCTAGTCACATTTAGGCGCCAAACCCATTGTTTCAATGGAATCTTACGTGCTGATTTGCATGGATGCAGAAATGAATCCTGTTGATTTTCACAGAACTTGCTCTTAAGCATAGCTTTAGAATCATGGGTTTGCATTCTGATATTGGACCTGCTCACTCAGAGAGAAGCCCTGGGAGTTGAGTGAGAGTTGTTCCCATGTAACACGTGTGTGTGTGTATACAGCGTTGCAGACATGGTCATCGGGCAGAGTTAAAGTACCATCTCTGAACTATTTTTAGATCCTGTGAATTTCTATTGCTGCTGTAAGACCAGCACGTATGCAGGACTGTCGGAATCAACACATCTCCAGGAACCAAATCATGGCTGTGGCTCTGGTTGAACTCCGAGTGGGACCAGGGCAGTGTGTTCAAAAGGCATCACATGCTGGGTAGCTCTTAAGCTATTCAGATCTTACAGGAATTGTTTCTTTGCCTTGCTTACACAAGCACGCGCACGTGCACAACAATCAAATAAAATGTGACAGAGCGTTAAATTGCTCTTCGATATCTCCTACGAGTAATATAAGCGTTTGCAATATAACACATCTCTGTACCTTTGGTTTCATTATGGAAATCAACTGGCAGCATACCTTGTTTTCTTTAAAACATGTTTCAGGGGCAGGGGCTGATTGTATTGGGACTAACGGAGCAAAGGGATGCTACCACCGTTTAATTAGTTGTAATCCTTTCGCTGGGTAGCGTAGAAGTTGCTTGCTTCCTGAGCTATTTGAAAGCTAGTTGCTAACTTTGGTAAGTTCATTTGATCAGGATTTAAGTGAGGTGGGCATGCTGAATTGTTAAACTGATAGGTGCTTCTCTTCTGTCTTGAAATGACTACTGAGCTCTGATCCTGAGCATACTTGTTTGGAAATAAGTCCTACTGAAATCACAGAGGATTGACTTGTGCATAAACGCATTTAAGATGTTGCAGGGTGGAAGGTAGAGGCAGGATGTTATACTTTGCAGCAGATGGGTTTTTACGTTATTGCTTTTCTTAGGAACAATCCTATACTATGTCCCATGGTTGCATTTTTTATTCGCCGACAAGCTTTTGAGTCCCCTCCCTCTTGTTTCCTGCCAGAGAGACTGCATACCAGCCTTTGGGGCTGATTATGGGATTTATGTTGGATTATGTCTTTAGTGCAGTGCCTTTGGTTTCTTTTTGATAAACGTTCTGATTTAAATGTTTCTTTCTTAAAGAAGCACCTCCAGCTGCTTTGGTTGTGCTCTACTTTCTGGAAGAATGTTGACCCATTCTGTGGCTGCTGAAGAAGATCGGAGATCTTCCTGATCCAAATATGCACATGTATCAAGATAAATCACCAAAGGCCTAAGCTAAATCTGCGTTGTTTCTCTGCGTGAAATTTTACCTAGTGCACATGCAGCTCCCAAGCACAAGTCTTTAGTCCGTATTGCTCTTCAACCCATTTGCACTGGAAGCATAACTGTTCACAGGGCTAGCGTAGATCATGCACCTAACACAATATGATGCACATGAAGTGCTCTCATTGCATATAATACTTGCCTCGGCTTTTCTGATGATTACTTTACTAATAAGCTTTACTTACAAATGGCGCCCTGCAACAAAATGTTACAGTGTGCCACAGGTGTTACCAGGGCCTGTGGCTAAGTAGAATTGGGGGGGGGGGTTAACATCGAATACAGGAGTCCCTCCCTGTTGTAACTTGGAACTTGATTCATGTATGTTCTATTTATATTGTTAGTTCTTGGACATTTAAAGGGGAATGCAAGTCAATTGAACTGATGGATTTGGCCTGGAATGAGGCTCCAGAGGGAAACTTAAGGAGCTGGATTTTTACTTCAACCTGAGATGTATAGGGTATTTTTGACTGGAAATCCAGAGCAGCCTCAGTAGCTCTGTCCAGCAATGTTAACAGAAGACTACTGTGTCCCGTAAGTCTGCAGTGAGGATTCAACACTGCACTCCATATTTCTCAAGCCAACCAGCAATGTGGGAATAAAGGCAATGGATAATACTGCAGCAGTGCTGTTGAAAACTCCTCATTTAGCTCGAATCCAACCTTCCATTGGGGTCTAATAGTCCTGGACATCACTACAGAGTTGTTGTAGATCACTCAGAGCCTAAGCTGCAGTATTTCACGTGAACTACACTGCAGGCCTGTCATAAACCATTTCCTCATCCACAGCCTTTCCAACTTGCAATATGGTGACGATGAGTTGCATTTGGGGAAGGTGGGATGTGGTAGCTACACTGGTGTCCAATCCTGGTTACACGGAAACCTTGGATTTCTCCATTGGTTTCTTTGGGAAGCTCTCACTTCTTCTGTTCCTAACAACATTTAAAAATAGCTTCTCGGTGTGAACCAGCAAATGAATTCTCTTTAGACTATAAGAAGATTCTCTCTACACTTCTCGTATCTGTGTCTGTTTTTCCTCATTCCTTTTAGAGGATGAAGGAGAAAGTGACAAGTAGACTGAAGGACAATGGAGGAAAAGACCTAATGATATTACTGTGTACCTTCTACTCTCTCCCTTAATCTTCTTGCCTTGTTTCTCAGCTAGCTGATCAGCAGTTCTTGAAGCTGAGCAGCCATGTCCATTTTCTTTTCCAATTTTCTGTGGCTATTGAACATACTTGTTCTGTGTTGGGCTGTTCTTGGGTTCCCCACCTGCCCTGGGGGTGCTTTTCTTCTAAACATTTTTTGTACATCTGCAAACCTTGAGGTTTCCTTAAGACTGCTGATACCTCCTCTTGTGTGTGGATGCCCCCATTTTAGCTAAATAAGAATTGACACTCAACCCTGAATCTTGGAAACAGAGTAAATACTTTTCTTTATGCCGAGTTAGAAGCAAATTAGGTTCCACTGATTTTACTGTACAGTTGTGCCCACAGTTTTATCATTTGATGCTGAGTGGCTGCTACATTATACAAATTCTTCACTATTTTATAATCCATTGGTATTCACCTGCTGGGTTGAGAGGCACACTGGGTAGTGGACTGACCTTTGGTGGGTTGCAACAGCAACATTACCACTGTACAAGTAAATAGTGTGGAATTAAAAATAGGGTCTTTTTGCATCTTTGGGCTAAAGGTGGATCCTTGTTCTCAAAAGGTTCAGGACCATTTGATTTAGTGAATACGGCCTGTGAGTATGTATGCAAAAGTGATCAATCCATGGAGATGTTTTCTAGATCACCAGTGAATGCACACCTGTGCATTTGTGGCACATTGACAACATTACAAGAACTAACTTTTCTCCATTTTAACTAAGCTTCCTTGTCTGGTCATCCAGAAACAACAGTTATTTGCCACAAGCAGTCGATTAATTGGTTATTCACAAACCAAACTTATTTTGTTGAGCCATTTCCTGCATTAAAATTAATGTAGAATAAGTTAAGTTTTAGTAGGGTTTACACAACCTTTATTTAAAATAATATTAAGCATTTCAAGTAAGAGCACTTAAACATAAAGTTAAACCTAAGTTGGCAGGTGTAAAACAATTTGAGCATGGGCTTCACAAGTTAAACTATAGCTATTTAGTTTGTACTTGGTGTGATTGATAGAAATCTGTCAAAAGGAATTCATAGAAATACCATTTCACTTTTCTTTGTCATGCTCCTGAGTTCCAAGTGACATTTCTGAGATGTCCAGGATGCTTTTCACTTGGACTGTACTGAAAGGCTTTCTCTGCCATCCACAGTGCTCTTGTACATACAGCTTTAGCCATATCCTAGTGGGGATATTGGTATTGCTTCAGTCAGCTGCAATATAAGTTAGCTGAGTTTTAAAACCTTTGATAGCTTGTAGTTGCAGGCAAGAGGGTCCCATCGATAAAATGTAAGCTGGGGTATAGGTGTAAGGTGGGGTATAGATTTTACAAATATGAGGTGGTTATTTGAGAACAAATAATGAGGTGGTGTCTCACAAGTAGCATGTGGTTAATAATAGCTCCCAACATGCTCCATCTGCAACTGAAAAAGGATGGAGGCACAAGTCCACCCACATTCATGTGATTATGATTATAACCTGTTAATAGTACTGCTAGTTTAAGAGGGAGGAAAGGGTCAATCCAATTCATCTCACCAGCAAATATTTCAATATCACGATATATCGCCAGCTAAACATTGCGATACCTCAGTATATCACCGTGTCTGAAATAAGGTTGGAGCTTATAATAATCTGGGGAAATATTTTTTAAAAATAAAAATCTAAATTTGATGCGTATAATTAAATGAAAATTTACTCAGCGATAACATCCTTAACTAAACCATTAAAGATTTCTGGAGAATATATTACTGTTCTGTTAAGGGTTTTATATACCCATAGTAATACCTTGAACTTGGCCCTGTAACAGATTTGGAACTGGTGTAGATCAGTGCTAGAAAGCCTGGCCTAGGTGCCACATGTCGCCTGAAAACTAGGTTACAGATGGCCATCCAACCTCTGCTTAAAAACTTCCAATGGAGGAGAGTGTACCACCTACCAAGGGAGTCCTTTCCACTGTCGAACAGCTCTTTCTGTCAGAAAGTTCTTACTGTTACTGTTGTTTAGTTAGAATCGCCTTTCTTGTCACTTGGAACCATTCATTCGGGTCCTCCCCCTTCAGAGCAGGAGAAAACATGCTGCCTCCATCTTCCAGGTGACACCCCCTCAGATATTTGAAGGTGGTTACTCTTATCTCCTCTCAATCTCTTTTC